AGGTACGGTACAGCAGGGCGGGCGGACGGGGTCACGTGTCGGGGGAGCGGAGGGAGCGACGTCTTTGGACGTGACCGGGTCGCCGGCGCGGTCCCCTCGGACGCGGAGGCGGGGGGGGAGAGAGACACGGCGCGCATCACGTGATCGGGCCGCCGGCCCCGCCCTGTGCCGGGCGCCCGGCCTGGGTCACGGGGTGCGCTGGGGTGGCCCGGAACGGCGCGGTGACGTCACGGGCGGCGCTGCGACGCCACGTCTGTGTAAAGTGACGTCAGGCCGGCCTGCAATGGGACGGTGTGGCCGTTGCGGTTCCCCAGAGAACCTCTGAGCGTCCGCAGAGTGTCTTTGGGCTTTCCTTCCTCCCGGTGGAGGTGCTTTCTTTCAAATAGGGCTGCCTGGGCTCTTGATGCTACAGAGCTGTCTTCCTCAGCCACTTTAAGATGGGTGGACTTCAACTCCCAGAATTCCCCAGCCAGGAGTTGAAGTCCACCCATCTTAAAGTACTGGCTGGGGAATTCTGGGAGTTGAAGTCCACCCATCTTAAACTGACCAAGGTTGGGACATGGCTTAGAGCACCCCGACCCCCCGCGCAGCCCCGGGGGACCTCCATCCTGAAGGGCTGCTCTGGGCTAAATCCTCCTCCGGAGCTCGCCTTTAATTTCTGCCCTTTCCACCTTGTTGGCATCTGCGGGCTCCCACTCAGGGAGGGCAGGAGGCGGGCAAAGACTGACCCTGCCCGGTGGCTCTGCAACCTCTGGGTCAGCCTCTGCAAAGAGGGGAGCCCGGCGCCTCTTGGGCCCCTTGGCTGCCCTCCCTCTTTGGAAGCTCTTTCCCCACTTTTTTTTAGGTTTTTTTTTTATCTGCCTTTATTATTTTTATAAACATCTCCAGGCAGCGAACGTACCTGCTCCTCCTTCCTCCTCCTCTTTTCCCCACAACAACAACCCTGTGAGGTGGGCTGGGCTGAGAGAGAGGGACCGGCCCAAAGCCACCCAGCCGGCTTTCATGCTTAAGGCAGGACTAGAACTCGCCATCTCCTGCTTTCTGGCCCGGGGCCTTCCCCACTAGACCAAGCTGGCTCCCGACTGGCCTTCTTCTTCTTCTGCGTGATGTCCACGCAAGCATTGGGAGGGGGCTATCCAACCCCCCTTGGCCTCCTTTCCTTCCGTATCTCTTCAATGAACTTCATTTCTGGTCCTCTGATCATCTGCGGCCCTCTTCTTTGAACCTGCTCTGGTTTCTCTGAATCCTTTCTCAAGGGTGACGCCCAGACCCGGGGACCTAATTCTAGGCGTTTGGGGACCACAGCAGAATTTCCTGAGATTGGCGAACTACGCTTCTCCTGGCGCAGCCTAAAACCGTGTCTGCCTGTTTGGCAACCACATCGCATTTGCTGACTCATATTTGTTTTCCAACTGCTGTTCCAAAATCTTTCTTACAAACATGGTTACCAATCTCATTTTGTTATTTTCAGCCCCCGTCTTCGCTGTCAGAATCTTTCTTCATTTCTGTTTTTGCCATCTACAATGTTAGTTGTTCCAGCCAATTTTGCTTTATCTGCAGCTGCATAGGAATTCATTTCTTCACCCAAATCGCCAGTCAAAGTACTGAAGATGACTGCGTCCAGGACCAAACCTGGTACCCGCATTCAACCCCTTTCTCCTGAGTGATGCAGTCCTGTGAATGAGGAGTTAGAGAATAGTTTTCAACCCCATGCACATCAGAACCTGAGGCAATATTTTGTGTTAGGCTTAATTGAAATCGAGGTATCTGTACGGCATTCCAACAATCCGATGAGGAAGTTGCCTGGTCGAAAGTTCAACTAAGTTTGATAAACCTTTTTTTGTGGGGGAAGAGGGAGACAAAAACATCCTGGCACCTAGTTATTGTTTTGAAACCTCCAGAACTTTAGAAGCTGCTTGTTCATCAGCCTGGCCCAGTTTATGGCCTGGGCAACGCCCTGGGGTGGAGGGATCCGCCTGTCAATCTCATCTCTTATCAAGTGATAGTGACGGCAAGGGTTCTCCTGGAATTCACCCTTGGTTCAGTTACCCCACCCTTGTGATGCAGAGGATCTGTGGCACACCTCCCTAGCCAGCATAGCTCTCTAATAACCCCTCCCCTGCTGGATGGGAGCACAGCCCCCCCCCCTTTGAAACTGGCTTGAGGTGGGATCAGTGGGTTTCCCAGAGTGTCAGCTGCTTGACGAGCTAATCAAAGCCTCTGAGAGCCGGGGCCACACTATCTCGAGGCACGACTCTTCTGGAGGCCCCTGCCTGGCCATTTGGGGCACCTCTGGAGGCCCAAGGCTGGTGTGTGCCCCAGAGAGCCCCGTTGGGGGCAGGGGAAAAAGACGGTGCAAACTTCTGCCAGCAGAGGAGCCGTCTGCTGAGACGGAGAGGCTGATGCTGTGCCAGGTGGGTTGGGGGCCCAATTCCACTGCTCCCTGAAACATCTGCCTGCCAACCTGGCCCCCCTTTCTTTGGATCTTTGCCTGGTGCCCCACCCCGTGAAACGTCAAGATGTAAAGTCCCAACAGATCCACCATAGAAGGGGAAAGTTCAAGGCCCTGCAGGGCAGACACTCAGATGTCGTGACAAACTCTTGCCCTCTGCCCCATGGGTGGTGGGTGGGGAGCAGAGCCCGGCTATATTAGCCAGGGAGGGAGATGCTGCTGTTCTCCGTGCTCCGACTCCCAAGATGAGCAGCGAGAAGGCAGGCTTGCTGGTGCTGCTCCTGGCCCTGGAGGGCCTCGCCATGACCGGAGCCGCCAGGCAGCATCTCAGGTGAGCAGTGGCGCGGAGATCAGCCTCCGGCTGCGGAAAATCAAGGAATGATAGCCAGGCTGGGTCCATTTCCAGATTCCGTCCTTTCTTCCTTCCATTCCAAGCAGATGGGCTGTGACATTTCAGGATTGGAAGCGTTTGAAGTAGATTTGAAGGCAGAGATTCTACAGTCACCCAACGCGTCGTTATTGTTAGCGGCAGCATTTTCGCTCTCCCCGGGCAACGCAGGGCAGGTCCAGCGAAAGCGGGCTAAAACGAAAGGGTCGCATTGCAAGACCTCTTCAGCCACCTGATGCACTGGGATAGCAATTCCCAGAATTCCCATCTGGCAGGGGGTTGGGGTCCCAACGCCACTGGGAGGGAGGCCTGTACCGAGGACAACGCTCTGCTGGCAAGAATCTTCTTTTACTGGACTGCCCCCCCCCAAACCATTTTAAGACTGATACTTTCAGGGATTGTTCAAAAGCGCCTGGAACATATGGGGTGTTTCAGCGTTTCACCTTCCTGTGCTTTAAAGCTGAAGCCAGAACCCCCCTTTGGCGGATCTCAGGTGGGAATCTCATCTTCAGCGGATCTGAAAGGAGCTGCAGTCTGCTTATCTTGCTTTCCGGGGCAGCCCGGGGGCAGCTGAGAACCCACAACAGGAGGGAATATCCTCGCTCTCGATCTCTCAGCGGCTTTCGATACCGTCGACCACGGTATCCTGTTGGGACGGCTCAGGAATTGGGGGTGGGCGGCACGGCCTTGTGCTGGTTCGCCTCCTTTCTCCGGGGCCGGTCCCAATCGGTGGTGATGGGGAGCGAGAGGCCCCATCCTCGGCCCCTCCTCCGTGGGGTGCCGCAGGGCTCGGTTCTCTCTCTGCTCCTTTTCAACACCTGCATGAAACCGCTGGGCGAGATCATCCGTCACCATGGGGTGAGGTATCATCAGTACGCTGATGATACTCAACTATACATCTCCATCCCTGGTGAGGTAAGTGATGCCGTGGCCCCCCTCTCGCGGTGCCTGGAGGCTGTGAGGGTCTGGATGGGGGCCAACAGGCTTTGGCTGAACCCTGGTAAGACGGAGTGGCTGTGGGTTGGGGGCTCCTCTGTATCTGGGATTTTGTCATCCTTGGTGCTGGATGGGGTGGCACTGCCCCAGACAGACCCAGTGCGTAATCTGGGGGTCCTCCTAGACTCACGGACGGAGTGGCTGTGGGTTGGGGGCTCCTCTGTATCTGGGATTTTGTCATCGACGGAGTGGCTGTGGGTTGGGGGCTCCTCTGTATCTGGGATTTTGTCATCCTTGGTGCTGGATGGGGTGGCACTGCCCCAGACAGACCCAGTGCGTAATTTGGGGGTCCTCCTAGACTCACGGCTCCTGCTCGAGGAGCAGGTGGCAGCCGCGGCCAGGAGGGCCTTTGCACAGCTTCGGGTTGTGCATCAGTTACGCCCTTTCCTGGATCGGGATGCCCTTCGAACAGTCACTCATGCCCTGGTCATCTCCTGCGTAGACTATTGCAATGCGCTCTACATGGGGCTACCCTTGAAGAGTATCCGGAAGCTACAGGTGGTCCAGAATGTGGCCGCGCGGGCTATTTTTGGAGCCCCGAGAAGGGCCCATGTAACGCCTCTGCTCCGCGAGCTGCATTGGGTGCCCGTTTGCTTCCGGCTCCAATTCTAGGTGTTGGTTATCACCTTTACAGCCCTACATGGCATGGGGCCAGGTTACCTAAGGGACCGCCTCTCCCCCATGACTTCAACCCACCCCACCCGATCGCACAGAGAGGGCCTGCTCCGGACCCCCTCAGTGAAAGAACTTTGATTAGCGGGGTCCAGAAGGCGGGCCTTCTCTGCGGGAGCCCCTCCCCTTTGGAACATCCTGCCCCCGGAGGTAAGACAGGCCCCCTCACTCCTGGCCTTCCGTAAGGCTTTGGAGACCTGGTTCTGCCACCTGGCCTGGGGTGGGGCGGGAATACCTCAAGCACGGGGATGGCTAGCCCCCTTGAGTCCTTCTGCCTTCCGCCTCAG